CATTTACTTATCATTAGAAACGTTACGACTGTTTATTTTTAACTCCTTTAGCGTTCAGCCTTGGACTATCCAATTGCATGGCAGGCAGCAGCAGGCTGATCGACTATTTCTTCCTGCTGATTAGACTAGGGTAAGGTATCAAGTACCAGCATCTGTTGTGCGGACATTTTTCGGAAAAATCGGTTTTAACTCGAGCTTAAAAGCTTAAAAGTCGGTTCAAATGATCCATTTTTTTCGTCACTAATGAATTTTAGAAGGTCTTAAAAATATTCAAACCTTGAGGATTTTCATCAGGTTCAAGCTTCATAAAAACGGATTTTTATCGTGTAAAGATCAATAAAACAATTTACTCCAGAAATTTCAACGTGTTTACTTGTTTTGTTTTCATTTATATTATGCGATTTGTATGTGAAGTTTCCGCAAGAATCAATGCCTAAAAAAATGTTTTATGCTAATTTCAATTATTTTTGTATATCTTCATATGAACAGTGTTATGTTAGGAAGCTTATTTTAAGATTACTGAATAAACATAAAATAAATGTATACACATGACACTTAATTAGAAGGAAACACTTAGAGTTTACCACAAATCATTAAGTTCTTTGGAATATTTAATAACTTTTTATTGCATTTGATTCTTGCTGAATCCAAAACATCGATGTTTGGACAAGAAAACAAGAAAACCTAGGGTTAAACTGGTGCGATTTTCGGGCTGTTGATCGTCAGGGAAAATATCTTTTTCCGTATACGTTTCGTAAGCACGAGTGGCTTGCAACTTTTCCTAATTATTAATCGTTTAATATGGGAAGCGAGGAAGGATTGAATATGCAATCGGAAACACGCATTATTTTTTATCAAATAAATCATCCATTCATTAATTATCGAAAACGTGTAGTGACTCAATCCATCTACAGTGTGTTAATATTTAAATGAACTTTTAATGTACATCATTTCAATCATATTTTTTCACATCTAAATTAGCGTTAATTCGACCTCAGGTCTTTAAATTAAATAAATTAACACTGCGTTAGTTTCCCATCTACTGAAAATTTTCCCAGCAAAGCAAATTCTAACAGGATCAAAGAGCTTTTATTACAACTTGTAACATACGGTTTAGCGGGACTAATATAAATCATCCTATAAACTATCGTTCATTCAGCTTTATATTTAGAATAAAGCTAGCTGACAAAGAAACGATTAAAAAATTATTTCAAAAGTGTTCAATTGCAAATGAGTGCCAGCGGATTCTTGGCATAATTGCGGCCTTTTAATCAGATGGATTAAAATCTACACGATGTGTATTAGGAATCACAGGCCCTTACTACGTGTGAAATAGGAATTGAGAGAATGTAAGTCTACCCGTTATGTAACAATTTTTTTATGTGTATTTTTTTTATCCATTGGATTTGAGTTGAAACAAGAAAGTATGCAATTTTGTTAACAATTGTTGTATACAATGTGAAGAAAGCGAACCACAAATAGTCGATATTGTGAAAGTAAAGTACTTGTTTGAGGCCTTAAAGAAGTTCTAAAGGAAATGGAACATGGTATTAAAAATCGTATTAAAAATAGCGACAATCATCTACAAGATCGTTGCCAAGTTACATTTACAAAAAAAATAAAATAATCAATAACCGTTACAAAAACACATCAACTTTTTTCCGTTCTATTGAAAATCGACTACTATCATTAAAAGAAAACATATTAACATAAATTATTATCTCAACAAGATAAGAAATATTGGATTACAAAAGTTCTGAAAGCACAAGAACATTCACAATATGGTTTCCAACTGCTGTTTTTGTATCGATGAAGAGCCTAATCTTAGTAACGTAAATTATATAAACAAATAAACCGAAGAGTTGCTGTTTTAACATCATCTGGTTCGTAATTATTGGTACATTTTATGCAAGTGCAAAACGCCTTTCAGTGTTTTAACAAATATAAACAAACGTACGTTTCTATCCGCTTTGTGTCTTGTTATGGAATAGAACAGATGCTTATTTTCAATTACGCAAACTGGAACTGAATTGTACTTCTTGAGCATTCTAAAACAATTCGAAATATAATGTGGAATTAACTAAAAAATGTAAATTTGGCACGTTTGTACAGTGTTTCACTTAACTATCTAAATGTATCTATTGTTATAAGACTGGTTTTGAAATTATGCATAACGAGGTAGAAGTTTCACCTTCAACCTCCATAAACCCTCTGAAGAATAGAAATTTTAAATCGCCCTGTATTGGCAGCGAATGGTAATTGCTACTCATATATTGATTAGGGTAAAAAACCATTTCCTGTGAAGTAGAATAATCTACACAAACACTAGAATAGAATGCGAGCACAAGAACAATATGAGTACATGGTAAATAAACCAGATGTGTTATGTGATTATTAAAATTTTACGTTCTGGAAAAATTCACCATATATTAGTGAGTAGAGTTGATTATTTCGTTGTTTTTTTGCAACACCAACGAACCGACAGTCTAAGTCTTTCAATCGTCCATAGTTGCTCTGCTGCATATTAATAAGGCGGCTCCCATTTTTGTATTACTCTTGTAGGTATAATCAATCGTTTTACATGAAAATTATGTGAGTCATTGTGTTGTCAACAGGTTGGGTCATATATCACTGATCATTCAGATTGATTCATATCTTGCCATGTGAACATGACGTTCAAATTAGGTATTACTTCGAAAGCGACCAAACCTCTTTCTCACATGCACAACAAGGAAAAATAATAGTTATTATAAATAATAACAAAAATACGCGATATGTAAATTTTATTTGAGTTATACCCGCAGATGTTTATATACCAGACTCATTCCAACATAATATTAAAACGAAATGGCTTTAATAACTGGGAATTCCGTTATGCTTTTATAATAGTTTGCGTCACAGGGTCAACATATTACCACTGCCTACCAAATGACCTCACCAAGACATAAGCAAGAAACACTCCGAAATTAAATGCTGAAGAATGGTTCAGTGCATAGTCATTCTAGTATTTGATTCTTAGCATACAGGCATAGTTCCTGTAATTCAAAACATTTGAGCACCTGACGCTAATAGATACTTAAACTTTCCAACTTCCCCTTATAGTAGATAACGATATAAACCGTCTTGTTCCCACGCACCAGATTCCGCAAACTTGCAATGACTTATGTTCGGTTATGCAAGCAAGCTCTCAAATTAAACGTGGTCTATTAGTGTAATGATATTACAATTGCTTTTTACCTACCTATTGCCCATGCCTTTCCTCATGTGTTTGACTTGGGAATATTTTATTTGAATATAATGTGCCTGTGAATCCGGCACCAGATGTTACCTGTTTGCCAAATCGTTGAACGATTGATGATTTTTTTCTTCAAATAGAATGAGCTGTAATGATGACGAACTTGGTATAAAAAAGAATGTCGATAACCATTTGTAAATTCTAATAGATGATCTCAAGTGCGACGTTGGCTTTAGATTGTCAAATAATACTCAACTGTTTCAACGTTGATTTAAATGTCCATTTAAAATTGCAAATGAACAAGTTATCACTTATGTTCCATATACGTGAAAAGTGAAACATATGCACATACAGATTCAGAATATCTTAAAAAAGTGAAAATAGTCGACAATTTTTTGCTTTCCTGCAAATACCAGATTGCTATCAAGGACCATATTTTGGTCATCCAAGTACGAGCATGCATCTGCATGCTGTTGCAACAAGTTGCAACTGAAATTTTATTTAGACACTTACATGAGAAAGCCAAATGTTTCTTTAATGTGATAAAAAACAACAAGGTTCAAAAGCATTATTAAACCATAAAGGGATAAATCAGCCTCTGTATTTTACTAGGCAATATACCTTTGAGTGGATTTTTTTTGAGGAAACAGAAATTCATATTGGCTTGTCTAAGGCAAATTTCCATAAAATGCACTAAATTTATGGAATAACTTTATTTGAGAATCCCCCTGGGGCTTATTTTTACGATCGGCAGTGGCTCAAACTGTCTATGACAAAGAAAATATAAACAACAAAATTAACTTTTTAAGCGAAAATGTATTTTTATTGAAATTCCCATAAAATCCTAAAAACAAGCGTTTCTATGTAATATACTCTATATTTAACTTTTTGTGAAGCCCAAACGTTAAAATGAAAAATTCCAATGTTTGAAAAAAAGGCAATAAAGATTAAATTTAATATTCAAATTGCCATTCATCTTTTTGTTGAAATTGTCCAAACTTATTACTCATTGATTTATTCAGGTTTTCAAATATTTGGTATTTACCTTGTTTTCTAATGATCTGAAATGTCCACAGAGAAAAAAGCAGTCAAAGAGTGTAAGGTCGGGTAATTTTGGAAATCACTTTCTAGTTTCCTCCGTTCTTCAATTCAAATCCTAAGAAACATCCCAAAAAAATGTTCTCACATTCTTTTTCAAGCAATAGTGAATATGTATATATAGTGCATAACTACCCTTTTTACATTTACATGCTTAGCATGTTAGGAAAAATTAAATTAAAATACAAATAAATAATTTCCAATTAAAAAGGTAAACTTTTATATTAGGTTAATGTTTAGGTATCTATTTAACAACATTTATTCCATTGATTTGTCACTCACTGTACCTGCTTTAAGTTGATTTAAAGCTGTTAAGATAACATCAATTTAAAACACATAGGAAACACATAACGTTTTGTAATTGCGCAATGCTTGCCCCCATTTATCCAAATCTGTATCCTCTTTCTGCGTAATCTGCGACACACTGCATATGGTTCAAATTTCAGATTGAAATTAAGAAACGTAAATAGGAATGATCTTCTTAATTTCGTGTTGAAGGAATGCATATCATTGCATAAGAAGCAAGTACTTTCAATTATATTATGTCAGTCAGCAGAAAGTAATAGTTAATAGTTTTTCCTTGATTGATTACAAATAATATCTGTAGAAGATGTAAGGAATAATAGTTTTCTTGTCAATATCGCATCAGTATTTTTTGTTGTTTTAGGTGGAAGAAGATGATCGGCTACCAAACGTTATATGCGTACGTTGTTCGGACCATCTCGACTTGTTGTTCAAGTTCAAAGAAATAGCTACCAAAACTGAAGAAGTATTAAATAATTTTATATCGTATGCTGAGAAGCTTAGAGGCAGCGAAGAGGTAGGTACTAAACTTACAATTATTTTTTTGTACTTTTCTTCGTTCATTTTACATGTTGGTTTTTTCGCTTGAAGAACTTGTTTGCAAAGAAAATAGGCTTGAAATTAGAAAAAAATTAAAAACATTACTTGCAGGGTTTAGAAAAACATCTGTGAGAAATGACTGTTCAATTTCATAAATAATTTAACAGATGAAATGCCAAGTCTTTTTGATTTCTTCCGGTAATACGGAAATAGGCATTAAGTAGTTGTTGTAATTTTTAGATATTTTACTTTGATCCAATCAAGTTTGACTAACCAAATACGGTTTTGTTCTGTGAAAAGTTCCTGTTCAGAAATCGAAATTGCAATCAATAACTACTGAAAAATAATGTTTAAAATAGGAAACAGTCAGGTCTAAGAAAATTTATACAAATTTTCATTTTTGGACTATTTTATAGAGTAACAGTACAGCATGCCGGTGTTAGAAATGTCTAAAAAAGCTATTTATCCCAGCTGAAAGTTAAAAATACCAAAAAGTGTTTTTCAAACCCGGTTAGATGGTTAAAAAAATTAAATGAAGTTAATAGAACTTGATTTAATTATTACTAGCTTTTTGAAGAAGTGGACATTGTTCTACAAACAACACAAATGTTTTCAACTCGTGACCAAATAGGAACTCAACATAACTGAATTAACACCTTTCTAACGTTTTAAATTTTTTCTTGTCAACTTCTATATACATATTTCAAAGTTGTTGTATTTGGATCAATTATTTCCTATTGGAAAATATATTTCCTATTGTATATGCGGAACGCTGCATGAGAATCGAACAAAGCTGTAAGGACATTCTTTAATATTATAAAACTATTCTAAATGGTTTGACTCCTCTTTAGTTTTAAGCAAAAACCATTTGATTATATTATATTTCCGAATTGGTGATTTTCCGGCTGACTTCCCGGAAACTTCATCTGCCAGCTAACGAATTTGTTCCAGTTAAAGGCTCCATCCTGTATATTTAAAACAGAGACCACCGCAGATGCTTTTAGCATTTTTTACTTTGCAAAGATCGCCTTTCCAAATATTTGATTCAAGAAATTCATTTGGTACTATGTATTTGAAACGTCAATGTGTTTTACTCATTTATTTGGATGCAGATTTTTATGCCATGAATAATTATAAACTAAAAAATCATCTTAAGTGAATCCAGACAAAACATAAAATACACAAAAAGTCTATCTAATTTAATACTCATTTGGTGTGAAAACTTAGTCAACAAATCACATTAAATCGTCATCACATCACATTAAATCATCTAAATCTAGTTCAAAATTCACAGTTAAACGAACAATAAATGTTTGGTGTACTTAATTCTCAATTGATATTCTGTGTCCTTAAGGGATTGTACATCACCTGTGTAGGGAACGGATAGTTTTGATTAATTCTGAATCGATAGCACCGTAACAATGCAATTGCTAGAGCGACAAATGCAATAAGGGTTGCAATCACCAGCAGAATAATGAAAACTAACTTGATGGTGTGAAAGTGGCTGTCCATAAGGTGAGACGCTCTATATGTATATTGCTGAAAATAAATAAAATTATTACAAAAAAAATGTATTTGAATGCATAGGGAAGTATAACTAAATATGGAGGCGTTTATTCAGTTTTACAAATATTTAAGTAAAGGGGGATACTTTTTCTTGGCCACCACGACCACGAGTACGTGCTTTCGTCAGTATTGTTAAAGGTGCTAAATAAGAACTGAAAATTGTAGATTTATATAGAATATCAAAAAACACCACACAAGCAAACACAGCACTAAACTTACTTATGTGCATTTGAGCAAAATCCTGCAAGAGGGATCTATGTAGACTATTTTACACATTTTCTAATACTGCTCTATTGAATTTAACAGAAAATTGTCTGTTAAAGTTGCACCGAATAATTGAAACATAGAAAGTGGATAAATTGAACAGTGCTCTTTTTTCAACGTTCATGTAGTAATTCTTTTTAAAACAGCAAACATTTTCTTTTTTACTTTTAAAATCAGCTTTTCATACCTTATTTTATCGTGTCCACATTGAAAAATCCCCAAGGAAAAAGTTATTTGTGGTACGTGTCCTTTTTCTCCCACTTTGCTTTTTTGAAGATTACATTTACATATTTTTTATACAGTAACAGAGATAAAAATAAGAGAAGTTTTCTTGTTCTTAATTAGCCGTTCACTTTTGCCTTAATTACAACACAAAGTAAAATATGAAGTAAAAAAAATGTTTGTATCACTTTTTCTTCAAAAATTAAATTAAAAGTGTATTAAAAATGAAAATATTACAGTTCTAAACAGCAAAATTCTTGCATTTTTTCCTAGTCACAGTCTTTATTTTTTTCAGTCTTTAGTCTTTATTTACTCGAATAATTGAATTGTTTCACAAAGATGATTCAGTTCAAATCTGGTTTTTTATTTAAAAAAATGCGACTTTCTGTGTTTGTTTGTTTTAATCGAACATCCTGAATTTTAGGGCATTTTGAAATCACACATGCTCACACACTCAAAACTATGTTTTCCATAGGATATTTGGATTTAGTTGAAATTATGAGTAAACGTAGATTTTGAGACTGCTCACATAAATATTGCTGAAAGCTAAGAACATTTGTTAGCTTTCTTTTATTACGGAAATATGTTTGAGTTGCACAATCTCTGCAATTGTGAGCAAAGTTTTCAGTATTTTTTAAAATAAAATAATCAATAAATCCAATCAGCAATTTAAAGCTGTAAATAAGAATGCACCATATGGCAAACTTACCATTACAGTTAATAAGCGATGATAAACACAGTAAAAATGGTCCGATGTAAAGTAATTTTACAGTATGATTTTGAGGATAATAAAATGTATACTGAAAAATAATGCAATCATTTTTCTTTTTTTCTATGCTGACATAAGCGCGTTAGACGAAGAACACTGATATCTATCATAATTGATTTAAAATGCGCAGCACATTGTGGAAGTACATATGCGAATCGTTGAAGAAACCTTCTTCATGTTGTCTTGACTTTCGCTCTTCTCACTAAACAATCATAACTTTACATCTGAATAACATTGTTTTGATCGGTTCGTTCACTCTTGCCACATTCATCCAGGTTTTATTTTTTCGTATTAATTTCATCTCTAGCGGGTGTGTCACTTTAATTTTCTTTTTTCGTCGACAAGTAATAATGATAATAATCTACTTCAACCTCTTTTCATGCATATTTTGGAACGGATCCAAACGACTAATGGAATAGCATTTCTCTTTGTCGATGCACTCGAAATCTTCGTTTCGAAGTACTACAAATTTGTAACGTATATAAATATAATCAGCAATTTGCCTCTAGAGTGTGACCAATAATTTGTCCTTCTGTTATGATATTCTTTTCATCTCGAAATAAGCAAGTAGGTAATCTATTTTCAAATTCATGCAGATGAAGAAACATTGAAAAAATGTGATGGAATCATTAAAATTACCTCATGATTACCTAGATTTTTTTTGATTTCTGGTAAATTTTATACACATCCATATTGTTACCTGAAAACTTACATCAAAGCTACAAGCTTCCTCAGTCAAATTGTAGATCATCATACTGACATCTGTGATAGGATTTATGCAAAAAGGACCATCCTTATCCATTTTTATCTCCGAGGACAAGGCTTGAGATATTTCGTACAAATCGCAGTCGCAAAACAAACTATTATCTTTGAGAGTGAAGAGCCTGAGTGCGGACCAATTAGTAAGATTGTAGTGAAGGTCTTGTAAGGAATTTGAGTGAAGATACAACTAAAATTGAAGCACATAAATCGTTAGGCTCTGGTGTCTTAAGCAAATTACGATAGATGCTTACCTCCTCTAGAACCTGTCCCTTTCCAAACGCATCTCTGTCTATTGTGGTCAAGCTTGGATTATCGGACAGATATAAAATAGATAAGTTCTGAAGATGTGCAAAGGAATTCGCGTTTACGTACTGCAATCTTGGCAAATTTGTGAGGGAAAGCACTTTAATACCTTTGACACCTGGAAAATAGTTGAAAATTTGTTCAAAAATTTGAAAATAGTTCTGTATTGTGGAGAGTTTTTTGCGTTTCTAATGTGTTTTTTAGTAACAGTAAAATGCCATCGCCAATAAGTATTCAATAATTTAGATAATAAGTACTTTTGTTAGTGTTTCAATTAATGTTTTTATATGAAAATCACATTTTCTAGTGACTAAGTTTATCTGATCGATTTATTCTTAGTTATGATTCTTGATACAACTTAACAATTCCTTTGATAATTTCATCGTTATTTTACTGAAATTGCTTGGCCGCTTGCGTTCAACACTCCGATGCAGAAAAATCTGTGAGTTGAGGTTGAACGCGAATAAATAAAATGAAAATAAAAATCGTTCAACATTGTTTTAAATTGACTAAAACTGTGCAAAGAAAGTAGCGCAACAAAGAAAACCAACTAAATCTAGCTAAAAGAAACGTAACTTTTTTGCGAAATATACATCGTTTCCATAGGTAAAAATTCATCTTTTCCAGAACTAACACAGATTAACTTAAATTGAAAAAAAAAACGTAATAATCGAACTATCAACAATTAACACATTTAATTAAATATTGTAAAACGTATAGTTATTAGTCATTTTTACAAATAATTTGAGGCTGAAAAAACGTATAACGTAAATTGATTTCTGAAAATGTTAAAGAATTGTATAATAAAACAGTAGGAAAACTGTAATTTTTAAAGCCAATTCAATTATTTGTAAATAAATCGACTTTGAGAAGAAAAAGAAAATGAGAAAAGTGGTTATATAATAATTGTGTGTTTTTTTTTTATAAAACGCTTTACTAAATATTACTGCATTTCGAACTCTTGCCGTCGTCATTGACCCTGTATACTACTCTACTTAAATATATCTTCAGAGCCTTGAAATACAACTTTTGCTGCTGTCAAAAAATAGTCGATATATTGGTGCTTGCATGTGTTTTGTATTATTTCCTTTTCTTCTATTTTAAACTGTGTTTTTCCATTATTCTGTATATTTCTTTTTTAGAACAAAAATGCATGTAAACTTTATAAAAAGGAAATGCATAGGTATCTCAAATATTACTGGTCTTTCCCAACATTCAAGTAAAAAATGGATACTATTTTGAAGAAGATGACAGTGAATTGGGTCCATTAATTCTTAAATAATTTGATATACAGCATGTTCTTTAAAAACATTGCATTTCTAAGCTTTTTTAAAAAACATTCCCGGTGCAAAAATGATAGCAAGAACATGAAGAATTGAAGAACATTCACAAGAACAAGAACATGAAAAAATAGCTTTGTGGCTACAACTTTCATCTTTCACTTGATCTAAAAATCGGTATTTAATAAAAATACATATGTCCTTAAAATGCAATTTAGATATCCTACATTTTCCACACGTTGTAAGTTGTACTTCAGTGTGTCTTGTGACCCAAATTCAAAACTCTTTTTTAAACCAATTGAACTATTTTCTTTCACTCATTCAGATAAGCGACCATAACTATATATTTACCCAAAAATGACTCATCAGTGATTTCAAAAATGAGATTATGATCCAAATAGACCGCTTCCAATGAATTGCTCAGAAGGCTCAGTGTATCAGGAACAAAATCCAATAGGTTCATAGTCAAATTTAGAATTCTCAGTTTTTGCAAGTTTCTGACCGCATCTTCAACTAAGTCAGTAAGGTCATTATCGGCGATATTCAGTACCTGAAATTGTTGTTTGTTATTCAGCATATATGAATTATTTCAAGTGCAACTGTAAATCACTTGTAAATTGGTCAGGCCTGACAATGCCATTTGAGTCGGTGGGTCCAGAACTCTTAGATTATTTCCCGCTAAGTTCAATTGCTTCAGCGTGGTTAGATGTTCGAAAATATTATGTGGTAAACTGTGGATTTCATTGTGCGACAAGTCCAAATCTTCTAGCATAAGTGGCTCATAAACCGTATTGTTGTATGTGCCTTTGAATATTTCCGGAGAAATTTCTTCAGCTGCAAAATGTACATGTAGTTGACAAATATGGATTGGTGTTTTGCTAGTAATACTCACTGGTTAGTAAATTATAGCTCAAATCCAAATAAGTAAGGTATTTCACTGTTTTGAAAGCTCCATTGTCCACACTTTTGATTCCACAGTGGGACAATATCACTTTTGTTACCAAATCACTATCCGGCAGGATTTCCACATTTGAAATATTATTATAGCTACAAATCAGAAAAACAAAATTATTTTCGTTAATATTAGATTGAAAAAAATTGTCCTACCTAAATGTAGCTATTAACGCAACGTTATGTTCCGGCCAATTAGCTATCATATGATGAAAGTCTTGTTTCTGGCAATCCAGAACAAATTGTGGTCCATTAATGCATTTGCATTTTTCACAGAGGTTCGTCGAATTTTCGAAGGTCTCTTCAGCATTACTTGCTAAGCTGAGACAGAGAATTCCCTGAAAGAAAATTGTGATAAAATATGTAATAATGGCTAAGGTGAACTAAAACTTCAATAGTCGTATGAGCATTGCACGTTAGAAATGTTGGTTGGCTGCTCATTGCTTGTATACAATATTGAGATTCTAGTAGGAATTTATCAATAAATGAGATTGATTGGGTTATATAATTTCAGTCAGTTGGTCAATCCAACTTTGCTAAACTTAACAGAAAATGAATCGGACTCCCAGCAGCTCTATTATTCGGATATTTTGAAATGTTTGCCCTCGTTTTGACACTTTTTTACATATAAAATATGTAAGTATGCGTTATGTATGTCGTGTCCGATTATATTCAAAAAATCAGTGAACAAAAGGACGTATGAAAAACGTGCAATTGATACGGTTTATAAGCGCCTATATCTATTTTTTTAACTTTTTGGTTAAAAATGAAGCGTTCGAATAACAACTGAAAAGTTTAATATTCCAAAATCAAAAGCATTTCATATTAAAAATAATAAGGAAGGAAAAAGGAACCTTTTATCAAAAACTGCTAAAGGAGTAGAAAGGTAGCATGTGGTTCAATAATTAAGAGCTATAAACATTTCCTCATGTGTTCATAATTTATCAGTAACAAAAAAAATTGAGGAAAGCCGAAAGTCTGAAAGTAGAGGAGGCGTTTTATTTGTTTTTACAAATAAAAGCCAAATGGTTTGATGAAAAGTTCTGGATGGCTCGACAGGTTTAAAAAGCGCCATGCTATTTGCTTTTTAACAGTATCGGGATTACCGTCAAGTAGAATCATTTCAAGAACGAGAAGAAGAAGAGCATTTACAATGCAAATGAATCCGAAATTGAAGAAAAAACTCCTGATGAAATCAACCTTGGAGCAGGTGGAGAAAATTTCAAATAAACCGTTAACTCGTATGCCCGGTACAGAAATTACCGTTAGAAGTTATTGGAAATGGGCATGTGGTTAAAACTCCAGCGGTTAAAAAATGCTATCCTTCCATTTCTGGTGTATATAAAGCAAACACTAAAGAAAATATGACAAGACTGTTTTTTTAATGATTTTAAAAAGTTTTTGCACCTGAAATGAAAACATTTTTAAATGGTATAAAGTTTCATCACAAAGATATATCCATCCTCATTCCCATCCTCTTCCCATCCTCATGATCCCAAAAATTTACTTCGAGTCGTCTAACTTTAAAGTTCTGTTTTGCCACAAAATTGTACGGACATTTTTCAACCCATGTAGAAAGAATGCAATGAGTCTTGAAACTAATAGTTTAGATTTGGCTCGGAAGTATGTCTATTTTACAAAAACCTAACCAGAGAAGTTGGACTGGACTCAGGCTGAAGAAGACAGCAGATCCAAAGCAACTCAGTGGATGAAGAGCATTTGCGAACAAAAATATTCACGTATCAGCACTGAAAAATCGCCCACAAAATTAAGGCTTGAAACCCATTATAGATTCCGCGAGAAATTTAAAATCCTGAAAGTCTATTGACAAAGGAAGAAATATTAGATTGGGGGATAAAATATTTTTCCTGATTTAACAGACGCGGAAATGGAAAATGCAGTAGTGCATGAAAAATGAAAATTCAAATGAAAATCCAAATTGTGATCTTAGTAATGAAGACGAAGAAATGCTGGGCATAAAGAAAAATTAACGCTTACCTATGCCATAAAATAATTTTTGATATTCATACAATGGGCAGAACAAAACAACTCAAACAGCGCCGGCATTCAGCTGGTGAAAACGCCAAAAGACTAAAATAGGAATTGTTGTTGTTTTATTAAGTATTACATAATAAATAATGCGTTTAATTTCTGATATAAGCCGGACAAATGCATCAGAATATTTTTGACCCTCTGATTCGGATGCGGCCCGATCACAATCTGCCCGGATTAACGAATTTCAACGGTACAATCGCACGTCCACATTTTCAGTCTAATTAATTTAGTTTGAAAGTGAATATATTTTTTAAATAATTTAAAAAAGAATCGTATTAGTTATCCAATTATTTGAAGCAGGGTAATGAGTTTGAGACACTTTTTGTCACGCCGGAATGCGTTTTTTGGCATCAAGTAATATAAAAACTTTGTTTCGGAAATCCTTTTCCTTCCTATTCGAAATTTAGAACAGCAATTATGTAAATTAGTTCCGTCAAAACTTATTTTTGCTTTGAATTTGAGACATTTTCCGATGAATAAACCACCCAACATTTTCCAACATGAAAATTTGCACATTTTTCAATGGCTTGTATCGAATAAAATTGACTTTTTCATTTAAACATGTTTTAAATATAAAAACAGCAAAGCCTGATAGAATTAACTACTACCTTGTTTGTTGTAATTCAGTTTTCGTATAGGCTGTTACAAAAGTAAAATTGTGCCACCTTGTATATAGTGTAGTAAATATAAAATTAAATAAAACATTGTACATGCTAAAATTCACTTGAAATTAAATGACTCATCATTTGGCAAGCGGGAATAATCGAAGGGAATTTTTGAATGCTGCTGAGTAACTGGAATGATTGTCACACATTCAAAATAACCAGGATGATTGTTTATTTGAATACCTTTGAACACTTTGATTTAGGGCTAAATCCGAATTAGCCCTTGGGGTTGAAAAAACTATAATAGCAGATAACTCCATTTTGTGATAAGTTCCCGCAGAAACATTTTGGATACCTCTAAAACCGTGTTTGCCCAACTTCAATCCACATTTTCCCCGCTAATCCTCCGGATGTTTGAATGATTACATATTATTTATGTTTATCAGGCAGGTGAACTCCATTTAAATAACATTCAAGCCTGTGACTGATTGAGTAAATAATAAGTTCAACAGCACTGGTTTATATGCTACCCGGTTTTAGGCAATAACTTACCACTACTAAGGTGAATAAATCCATTGTTTGTTGCGAAAAAACACTAGCTCATAAATGAGAAACACTTATTTCACTGCATTAGATTTCCCGGACTTACACAGACGTTGTAATGAAAAAGATACACCTAATAGCTTATCAGTCTTATCAAAAGATTTAGTCATTTTTATCGTGCTGATAATTCACTAATGATATTTGCCTTATTTAATTGCTGTGTATTTCTAGTACGAAATGAGCCACATTGGAATTCTGAGTATTCATTTTTTTCTGGGCACAACATGACCATGGCATGTATTGTCAACTTTCAATTATTCAGTTACAGATTTATTCAGGTGTAGTTTTCACAAACTGAAGGACCCTAGTAGCCGAACAACATTTCACGAGAAAATTCACTCACAACTGAGTCTTTGCTATATCTCGAAATACTTTAACAATTGTTCTATGAGTCAGTACAGCCACATTACTTGTATCAAATGGTATTATTTAGTCTACACACATGGTGAAAGAATTTTACGGTCCATTCACAAAGAACATATTTTCAAAATGGTTCACGGCAACACTAAAATTTGTTGTGCTCTGTTTCCTAATGATCCATAGTTGCCATAAATGGCTTTAACGCAGAACAAGGAATTTATTATTGCACGTTCAAATGTAATGTGGGAAATAATCGGGTCCTTGTTCTTGATGGGAATTGAAAACGTTTTGTGACTTAATTAATGAATATAATCAAAGCCATGAAAATTGGAGTCATTATGGATACCCGCCATGCTTCACAACGATCATCATCAATCACGTACTCTGTAGTTTATGTTTCTGCCAATTATCATACTCATGAATATTAATTTATACATATAGACTATCTACTGTATAAAACCACAGATACACATCACTATATCCACATAGTTCAAGGCTCAGCCAGACCAAAAAAGCTCTTTTATTGAATATTATTTGGAAGCTTATATTGGCAAAAGTACTTATAACATTCCTATTATTTTGCTGCAATCGAGTTTTAAGTCAAATACACAGAAATTTCATATTTTAAATAAATTTTTGGTATGCAAATATACGGGGGTAATAAATGAATTGTTTTTAAACCAGTTTTTTAAATATCAGGAAATTTTGCCGATAAAATAAATATATTGAAAATTTTTTATACAAATTTAAATTTAACCCTCTGCGCTGGTGTGCTGCTGAACTCCCAACAAATTATTACAAAGGACTTGCACAAAAATTATTAAGTAGGTAACCTAATTTAAATATATTTTTTCAAAGTAGCCAGTTTAATACCTAATAAGTACTTGACTTTCGAGTTGTAATAAATAATCAAAAACTGAAAGTGAAAATCACGCAAGTAAAGTCGACGAGTAGAACAGCCTAACAATACTTAAGTGCTCTATGCGCCCCTGCAAACACCCGCGCAGCACTCCGTTCTCCCCTTGTCCTGCTAAAACAAACTCGTTATGTAAGCGAAGATTTCGATGCATTTAGTCCAGCGCCAACCGCGCTATTGAGCAGTATGTTAGTGTCGGATGTTTCCCGGTTTCGAATTTTTTTTCGACTTTCTGTAGCACCGCGCGAAGAGTTCATCTTGGAATCATAAAAAACGCCTTCAAAATTTTACCAACTGTCGGCACTGCCACAAGCATAAAGTCAAAAAACGTGTATTTTTTACAATTGGAATCGCCTAATATTGCTTGAATAAATTTAATTTCAATCATTTTGAATTTAAATGTCCATAAACCGATACCAAAACCAGACAAAAGCAAGTTTGTTTAGAAAGACCATTTCAATTCCGTAGGCCGTATTAATGTTGGTCACTAGCTTAGAAGCACCTTGTATACAGTATAAAAGTATTTTCCTAAAATAAATTCCATCAATAATGCTTAAGTTAATACGAAATTGAAACAAAAATATAAAATAAACGCACAAACAAAGAATATACTGTTGGCAGATTCTTGGTAAATTACGAAGTAGACTGCTTTCTGTATAATAATTTTGAAATAATTACAACCATTAAAATAGATCGGATTTAATGATAACCTTCTATACATAACGAGGTATCCACATACTTCTATAATAAACTGTTGAGAAATATTTTACTTACCCACTAATAAAGCCAATATAGCGTCAGATCCTAGAGGTTTACGTTAACTTTAATGCCAAGTAGGTAAAAAACCAAAAAAATGGATTTTACTGGCGTTTTAGAGCCAAAAATCACGATTAACATCTTTATTCAATAAGAAATACCTACATGGAGTTAAAAATAAATGAATCTAAAACTAAAATTTTATAATATTGATATTCGTCATTTTATTGCCACAACCACTAATTAATAGAGATTAATTTGTTTCCCTTACTTAAGTTAACGATTTAATTAAGAAATATTAAATTATAATATTAAAGTATAGAGATTTATTGATATTAAATTGCCCTTTGTTGTTTTAACCGTAGGCAAGAAATAATTTTAAGTTGATTTAACATTAGCAAAACGTGTTTTTTAACACACTTTAATGTATGTAATTTCTTGCTTAAATAGATTGTTTAGAAGTTACTAAAAATTGTTCAGAAAGAAAACGTGTAATTTAATTTAATAATTAGAAGAAATTACACACTTTGATACACGATTTGTTAATTAATTTTATGAGGCGTGTACACACCAGTTGCTACAATTTAAAGATTAATTAGATCAGTTACTGATAGCTATGCAATAATAATAAAATACAACATTTTATTTTAATATGTATATAAAAAAATGTAATATAAACAAACTTTATCCACAATTTTGAAATAGAACTTATTTCTCATTTAAATTTATAATTCAATTCAATCAAAATTAAAAAACTAAATTCTTCATTAAATTACTCTATGATCCGAGTCCATGAGGATATTCTTAGTCTAATATTTTTCTGTATACTGGGTGATTTATTAACAACGGTTATAGTTGTCATGTTTTGATCTTGACTTGAATATGGATAATTTTTCATATACAGAATATTGCATTTTTTTTAAAGAAACTTAACAGTGCGTTTTTTTTTATTAATGTAAAGTAATTGTTAAGAAAAATCATACTTAATTGTAACTGTAGGTGTAGATTTATCAACGGTAAATGGCGGTAAAGTAAGTGGTAAGTAAGTGGAGTTCACTATGAACAAAGCCAAAATTTCAGCATCTATTAGACTCGTCAAAAAATAGTTTTGCAAAATTCCTAACAATTTCTTTCTCGAAATAAAAAGTACTTAGGTTTGTATGGGTATTTAAAACACTAAGATTTCCACATTTTGTTTTTTATTCAACAACGGTTTATACATTTAAAATGCATTAATTTTTTTATTGAAATACTTCTTCTTCGTCGTCTTTTTCCTTATTGTAGGATTGCTTCCTGTTTGTCTTCAACGATTACATCCGTAGTAGAGACGCCGAGCTTCAGCGGTCGTGCCACCGTTTTGGGGGTCTTCCAGGAGGTCTTTTCGAGACCGGGCGTCCCTCTTTCGCGATTTTTGGTAGCCTCGTATTGTCCATCCTGTTGACATGGTTCATCCACTCTCTCTTCTCTCATCTAGAATGTCGCAGTGTGTTCTAATGTTATGGGTTTTAATGGGGTCCCGCAAACTGCAGCCTGTTATGCCTATCAGAGTTCTCATTTCTGCTGTTCTGAGGAGTCGCTTCGTCGAAATACATATAGTGAAAAGCTTTTTTGAATGAGTCGGAGTCAAAAACCGATACATTATTGGATTGGAAACATCAAAACTTGCTCAGTAGCAGCTCCTACAGAATTTTATCTGTATAAATTGTCAATTTTACATAAGAGATATGAACACCTTAAAACAGATTTTAGTTGCAATAATGTAGATTGATTTGGACGCTCCATATAAACGAGGCCCCGATAGGGATAGGAATAGTATGATGATTTTGGAAACCATAAAGCCTACTTTATAACCATGTCAGTGCCGTTAGTCGTTTCACGTCTTCACGCACTTAAATTATTGTTCAAATACATCGTTGCAATAATATATTACATTGTTTTGACTGGTGTAACGGCAAACAACAGAGGCAACAGCAAGTTTATGCATTTAAATTTAGACGCACGAATTTGGGGTAAATTATAGGAAAAGTGCCAGTATTTGAATCTCAATAATTTGGATTGCGACACTTTTTTTCTTTTATAATCGGCATAGTTTTAGCAGGTGCAAAGGCACTTATTTAATAGTTTGTTCGCACGTTCGTCATTTTGCAGAAGCTTTAACGGTCTTCAAGAGAATACTTTAAATTTACTTCACTCTGTATGAATGTACCAAGAAACATTTTTTTACAGTGAACATTGTTTTTTTTTTTAGGAGAACATGCGTCACTCAGAGGAACTACTCGCCAGTATAATGTCGTCGATGCTAAACTCGAAAGACATCAAATCGGAGCAGCAAAGCAGCATTCCCCATTCAGACATTAAACAGGAGCCTTCAGACCACACATTCGCTGCCCCCGATCAACACAAAATCGAAAATTCGATGGAAATCGACGACGAACCACAACCAGCTATTATACAAAGTACTTCAGATGCATCAGTTATACAAAATCCCTCAAAATTTAGTGCACCAAGCGGGTCTACATCAGTATTACATTCAGGACCTTTGTGCTTGCAATTAGACTTAAGCCGCCGGTCACCATGTCCGAGCCCCACTTATATACATAGTGATCGAATGCAAAGTGAATGCAGTCGAGATGTGAGCATGGAATCTTCAGCCCCTTTAGACCTGCAAACGGAACCAGTCGATTTGCAAGTTCAGTTTCAACACGTTGAACCTCTACCGTTGCAAGTTATTGTTTCGGAACGATGTGCAGTGGATGAGGCTAAATTTGGTGGACAGCCTGTGACTGGAGAAGCTGAGGAAGCTGCTCCAATAGAATCCGGAGTGATAAAAGTCAGGCCCACAAGTGTGCTGCAGGATCGGCGCATAATCAGCCAAGAATGTCTATATGATCAGACTCAGCCAGAACCTGCTGACTTATCAACCAGCCGAAAACCAGACAACCCGGTTTATGATGAAGTGACGAAAGACGACTATAATGTAGATACTTTATCGGTTTCCAGTAGCAGCACTGATCCAGACAGATTGGAAGTTGATATGTCTCTGGTGAGATTAAAGAGTAGGAACTCACCTTTGCAGACTCTAACAGAACTTTGGTTTTCTAGGCAATGGAAGACGCGAATTCCAGTTCTACCACAAGTACCTCACCTTCACCTCTCGATAATTTTATGCCCGGTTCCAATAATGAAAGCCACGGTGACTTCACCGGTTACCCTAGCAGTAACGGGTTTTCTGAAAACATGTCCGCATTATCTGGTAAGACTTTTTCAATCTTTTGAAATATCTTCAGCAGCATTTTTATTCCTTACCTAGGACAAGCTACTCAAATTTTAAGAAAACTAATTACGTGCAGAAAATTGGGAATGACTATCACTCCGTCCAATCCCAAAGTGTTGAATTACTCTTTGTTCGAAGGCCATTCTCCCCCCATGCAAGGCAACGCCAGCTTAACAGACAAGGAAAAAACCTCCGCTAGAAGAAAGCAAAGTTATCCAACCAAGGCAAATGTTTCCGAAGAAGTAAAGAGCAGCCTAAAGTAGCTGAAGTTCATGTTGGCTCATGGAGTTTTTATGATTACAGATGGATTCAGTTGATGATAGCGATCGGCCTAGGCAAATGTATGCGGAAGAGGATAATAGCGACCATGTGCCAGATTTTACTGGAAGCGCACCTTGGATTACCATCAGCGGAAAACAGTTCAATGTAAATGTAGGTAGCTGAGACAATAATATAGTAACTCTAGTTCTACTAGTTTTTTGTAGTACTTTTTGAGTTATTTTTTCAAGGCCGGTAGCGAATTTTAGCTTTTTTCAGTTTCTCTAGATATTTGGAAAAAGTATAACTTACAGTAGGCAATTGGGAAAAATCGGTACCCAATTAGGAGATTTTCAATATACAGGGTGTTTGTTTTGCCTGAGATAGCTTCATTGCGTCTAAACGTTTGGAGATGGACAACAAATTAAATCGCGTGGTTTCTTAATTTTGAAATCTTCCAATGCTGAAATTATTTTCAAATATACAGGGTGTCTCGTAAAGACACTACCGAGATCAACTTCCTTTTGTTTCATTTCTGATTTCTGCATTCAATTTACATGTTACGAGTTTCATCGGTCCAATTTTTATAAGGGAATTGGCTTTTGTTTGTTTAACTTGTTGGCATTTGTTTCGAAACCATGTAGACAAATTCATACACAGCTCACCATTCCCTGGATGTAAAGTTTGGAATACTGATAACTTATACGGATGGAATTTGTGTTTCTTTTTCAAACTCTCATCACAGTGCTTTGGGAAATCTGTGGATTCTGGCTTACAATCACCAAGACATTGACCTCCAAAGCTTCATTTATTACTCTATTTCAATTTTTTGGTTGTGTAAAACTTCCTTAGGTACCCAAATTGTCGTATTATATTTTGAATGTTTTCAAGGGAGGCTGATGACTGTTAAATACCTCTGAAAAAAGTAATGAATGGGTTTTCGGACACGAAAAAACTCCTCATTACTTTTTTTCAGAGGTATCAATATTGTATATAAAAATGGATTATTAAAATGAAGAAAAGCGGGACATGATTGAAACCTACATTCGATGTGTTAAAAATGCTGGACGAACCTATGATTACTATTTTAAGGCTGAAAGGGATTTTTTCGAGGCTTTAGCTGACAAATAATTTTCAACAGCAAGACGAAAAGCAATCATACCGCCAAAAACAGTAAATTTTTCTTATTCCAAAAAAATATTTGTCCGTTTAAGCCGCGAAAAAATCCCTTTCAGTCTTAAAATAGTAATCAGATGCTCTTCCAGCATTTTTATCACATCTAATATAGGTTTCAATCTTGTCGCGCTTTTCTTCATAGGAATAATTCATTTTTACAATAAAACTTACTCAAATTTGACAACTTGAATGTCAAATAATTGAAAGATGTGGTTATGATTTGTTACTATGAAAACACTGCTGTCTGCCTTATACTATTTTCGATAGACAGTTTATTTTCGAAAAAACGTAACGATGTGATATATCACAGAAATTGTAATAAAAGGCTCTATTCAATAAAGGCATAATGAAATTTGGTTGCCATTAAAAAAACTCAACTTTGTGTCATAAGTCAGAAAGGACAGTTAGTTTATAGAAATGGCTCTTACAATTTTCTTGGGAATGCAATTTTCTACAACTCAGTTTTTTTCACATATCTCCTGACAGCTGTTAAATTTTACAAACATAAAATTGGTTTCGAGTAGAGCATTCAAAACAACAATTTAACCTTTTTTGAATCTGCTGTAGTTTCCAAGATCCCTGTACTAGTAATAGAAAAAAAATCCCACCCTGTATATGATAAGGAATCGCAACCTACTTCTTTTGTTGGCTATTAAAGGAAGAATGGGTTCTTTTTTCCTTACTTTTAGCAAGTTTCAATAACTGCTCAGATGTACTTTCTAGACATTTTCAGCTCATTTGACTAAAACTAGTTTTTTTAAGTGGAAACCAAAATTTGTTTACTCAAATTTATTCGGCATTTTTTATGCCAATTGTCTATTCCGACAACACCTTAATGGAGAACATGTAAGACAATTCCAAGTGAGCACCACTGCAAGTGTCAGTGGAATAAGTAAAATTTTGAACCACCGTAATATTCGAAAGCAAAAATTAATAAGTGAACGTTATTGTTTTAGAGTAATTCACAAGCGGCAATCTCAAAACGCGTAGATATCTGTTGTACAAATTGCCGCACCCAAACCACGACCATATGGAGACGAAATGTTAGAGGGGAGATGGTTTGTAATGCTTGTGGCCTCTATTTTAAGCTGCATGGAGTTGATAGGCCGTTAGCTATGCGTAGGGATACGATTCACACGCGTAGAAGGCGACCTAAGGCTCAGGAAAGATCAGGCGGACGTGGCGATGGCGTAGACAGGAGAAAAAAGACCGGTAAGTTGAAACCATAACTTCAAAAATTAAGAGTTTCGGGCACCTTAATATCTATTCACTATTATTCTGATGCAAAAAGTTGCCTTGTCAACTCTTCATTGATTTTTTATGTGTAATTTACCATGAACGAGAATCATTTAAAGGAACGTTTAATAAACTTTACTTTGTTATATAAAAATTGCAGGTCGAAATAGGGACTTTCCCGCTTTGAAACTTAAATAACATTAGAGTTATAAAACGGTTCTGTATTATCACATCAGTTGAAAACATATTTTTATAACCCGTATAGAAAACTAGCTTTCAATAACATAAATTATTAACCTCTAAAGAGGTAGAAGCTTAAATCGGCAAATCTTGGAAACGATCCAAACAAACTGATTTGCCAGTAGAGCCCTTTGGAGTTTTAAGAGGTCAATAATGACTGAAATAAAGTTGGTAACTTCAAAAGATATGGACCCGAAATATGATGAACTTTTGCACAATTTCAATTATATCTCAGAAACGGTTTACAATATAATAATTATTAAATAATATTTTTGTTTTGATAGCGTTTCGAGTACAATTTTTTTGCTTTTCTCACATATTTAAATCCTCTAAAAGGGCAAAAACAAGCAGAATAAAACATTTACATTTAAAACTACGGAAAAGATCTGGAAAACAGTCGACAATATCGCAGACAGTATCTTCAGAACCGAAAGTTTTTATACAAAATATATGGAACTGAATTTACCAATAAAGTTGGATAAACAATCGCTTAGGAAATAGACGCAAAATTAAGTTAAAACAACTTTTTAGGCGGTGATAACTTTTTGATATCACACCTAAAAGACCTACATTTGGAAAACTAAATTTTAAAGTGTTCTGGAAATTTTTTGATATAGTTATTATCTCGAGGGCACTGCTCCTCGTCTCAAATTGGACAACTTTTAATGCAATATAATGCTCTCAGTCTAACGAAAAACCCGTCAAACAGTTAAATTTGCAACATTTAATTAAACTTAGCCCCTCTGTTGATTCATTAACTCGAAGTGCCATAAAAAAATTTTCAAGATAAATTATCGAAACTTCGATAGTTCAAACACAAGTCGAAAAAATTCAATCGAGCCATGTTAGGTATTTATTTTCCATTGGGTAGGTTTCGATTCAATAACATTCAGAAATTTAGGGCTTGGTTTCGATGCAATCCATCTAGCTCAAAACCTGAAATGTTTTACGTAAGAAGTACGTACCGCAAAAAAAACGAAAAATATTTGAAATTTTAAACTTTTGATTTTGGGTTCTATTTTTATTAAACGTTTTTTTTTCAGACTATGAAGCATTCCTCAAGGGTAAGTAATTCTTGATTTAATTTATAACAAACAGTCTCTAAAAAGTCGCCTATTCAGACACTCGACCCTTAGATCCAAGACATGTACCTCGACTTCCAACTTTAGTGTCTGAAAAACACGACACTGATAGTATGTTGAGTGCTTTAAGAAGACAGCTTCAGCCACATTTGGTAATGGCTTTAAGGCAGGGAACAACTAATCAGGGGCTTCTTTTCAGCCAAATTCCTCAGGTAAGACAAATAATAAATTGAAAAATTGATTTCACATAATTAAAAACCAAAAACATTTCGGACGTTTTAAAACAAATTTGCTTGCTGAGGTCGACTGACGCATAAATTACATTATTCCATCGGCGACTATGAAATCAGATAAATATAAAAGTTCCTGTTAATGTTATAAGGGTTTAAACGTGACTGCAAGTCAATTCCGGAGATGGAACACATACGAATTAAATATGAAATTAAATTTTGTATGATCATATTTACTCTTTACATTTACGAGTAGAAAACAGTGTTTGAAAACTGCACTGCTTTGCTATAATTGCTACATCGGAGTCGTGAATTTATGCATAAGTATTGCAGATATATACAGAGTGGCGCAATTTACCACTGTTTTATTACATGTTCTGTGTGATCTTAAAAAATTAATACCGTTATTCTGGCATGAAGCGATGAAGCGAACTGGAAAAAATGTTTATCCCAATTTACTCTTAATTAATTTTTACTAATGAAAACGTTGTTCAGAGCATGCCACCTCCTCCTTTCCTGCCAGCCAATAGGGATTCGTCAGAAGGTTCTGTACCAGAACTCGAAGATGATGAAGAGAGTATAGCGGATCTTCCCTTAAATTTGGTATCGACACAATTGGCCGAAACCGAAACACACTAACCAAGCAATTATTTGATTGTTTTATCGGGTAAACGGGCACTGAATGTCAGTTAATTGTACGTACTTTTTCGTCAACAATTTAAATATTTCCGGGATTTTTCCTGAAACTGATCAGTTTTACAATAAAAAGGGAAAAATACGTATAATCGATTGATCTGGTGCTTATGGAAGATGTTTCTAGAGATCAACAACAATGACAATTTATCGAACAAAGTTTTGAAATCTAGAATTAACAATTTTTAGGATGAAACACTAAATGGGGTGACTATTGCACAAAGAAAAACCATTATCTATCTATTCCGTTTGATTTTTCGATGATTTCGACTAGTTCCCTATCATTTCGATCATCTCATAATTTTTATTTAAGTGGGTATGGGTTTTTGCGGATAAATGCCCATTGAACACAAACTTTAAGTAAAAATAACACTCATATTTGGTTGAAACGTACAGCTTTTTGGTGATTTGAAAAATCTGAACATTTCATCTACTAAAAATCGAAAGATACGTACAAGATAAGCCAATAAGGCTTTAATTTTTCTTGCCTTTTTATACTAAAAAATAGTATGTACCTACATACTTTAGGTGTTTAGCATATACAGGTTGGTCCAGATCATCCTTTTATCTGTTGTTAAGAAATTAATTAATACTGTTTAAGAAAGCGCACTCCGCTGGTTGCCACCGTTGGAATATCATGTACCGATATACACTGTGGTCCAAACGTGGCAACTTTCGTATTGTTTTTTGGTGTAGTATATGTCCTTAAGGTCTGTCCGATTAAAATCGGACCACCCTGTATTTACGCGGTGCCCAAGTTAAGAGGAGCCAGTATTTATCTAAATCCGTAAATGATACGTGATTACATGAGATAAAGTGGAGCAATTAATACAATACCAATAATAGCGCGTTAAAACGTTGGATTTGAATTTTTGCAAAAAAACGTCAAAAAAAACGAAATCTTAATTTCCCATTTATGCAAAAAAAATGTATATTCAGAATTTGTATCAAACGTCTTTGGCCGCTATTTTATTAATATTTTAATTGCGCCCAACACTCCCAAGCTACTCAGTTGTTTAACTGAGGAATTGCTCTTTCTTTTCTTGGACAAAGTGTGTACTTTTTGTTGCCACTGAACTTATTATATAACAAAAAAGGTTAAATCGGATGATTTCTGTTTCGAATCCAGAAGCTTTGCAATAGTCACACATGATCTGATACGTCTAGGAACCCTAGAGATTAGAATATTTTTCAAAATACTCCCCTTCGCTCTCTAACAGAAAAAGGGACTTTTTTTTATTAATTCTATGTACTTACCAAAAATACTCATATATATTTTTTACTTCTGTTATATAGAGAATAGATGGTAATGTGTAAGGCGTTTCGATCCTGTTAAAAGCTTCTCAACAACTACTCTCGAATGTGATATTCCGAAAAAATAACGTAATATAACCAATTTGATACCAATAACCCGTTCCCAAATAGTAGATAAACATAGCCAAACCTTTTGTTCATGCCAGTAGTACATTTTAATTTTAGTAGTATTAAATTTACTTCTCCAAGTTTTCTCTTCATTCAGATTTTCGTAATCTCAGCCCACTCGGTATCGTTATAAAATTATACACTAATCAATTATTTTGAATATACTCTATATTGTAATATCGATTTATTTATTTAAATTATTCTAGTTATGCTCTCTTAAACTATTGAGATTTTGAACTCTAAGATTTAAAAAAATCATTGCAAATCTAGAGAGTATTTCATCGAGTGCTTCGGGTTATCGATGCTTCCTCAGAACTTACGTGAATGTTGAACAAATAAAGTTTTAAAATATTACGTTAGTGTAATTAGTAATAGTATTAGTTGTTACCTTATAAATTGTAATTGTTGATTATTGTAATTACATCATGTACTTGGAGTTCAGAATCGTCCCATCTTTTGGTTATTTTACCAGTGTGCGTGACTTTTTAACGTATTTAATGTAAATATTTTTTGCAATACTTTTGTATACCAGTAATTACATGTAAGTTTTTTATTATTTTTTTTACTTAGGGTAATAGCATCGATTTCTAACGCTTCTGTGCAACTTTTTAAATGTTTTCTGCAATACATTTTTTGCCCCGCCCTTTTTAGTATTATTCGAGAATTGTTATCGGCATAATTCAATATTTTGGGAGACAAATTTGACGAGGGCAAAGATGAATAATGTAGTGTACCTAGTAGTATTAACAAGTGAGTGATATTCCTGTTTTAACCTAAATACGATATTAACTTAACTTTTGACTACTTAACTTATTCAATTAAGAGAATGCCAGCCAAGATAGCTATAGATTTCTATTGACTGGCGCGCTCTATTAAAGATATCAGTATTTTATACAACTTTTTATTGTTAATATAGGTTTAGGCTAAACCGTTTTGCCTTAGTATTTTAAGTTATGTTAATTTTGTTGGCAGCTATGCCCGCGTTTTTGCAATATTTTGCCAGTTGTTTACATGTTTATACTCGTTAACTTCATCCATTTACGGCGTACGTTTAGGAACAACAAGAAATTCAACAAATATATCGTTTACTAATAAAATGTCAGAAGCATCTAACTAGGACCCTTGAAGTAAAACAAATGTTAAACTGTCTTTGCAAGTTGTCAATGCTCTTACTAATAGCAGTAAGTTTATTTAAAAAAAAAATGGGCACATTCTAGTTCTTGGTGTTCCTAAGTTAAGTGAGATGCTGAAGATCGATTACAATAGAAATACCTGCTCTCTGTTAAGATGAATAATTTATTGTATGTCCTTAATTATTGCTTTCGACTTTATTTCAAATATCCCGCAACAAGTTGAGGGAATGCATTAATCATGATACAAATACTTACTCAAAAATACGAACGTTAAATGTCTTCTAGAAAAATGTAAATTTTCTGAGAAATTTAAAGTCATAACCGTATGAGCAGTATTTAATTCAAAGATTAAATATTGTTGGTACGCGAGCGTTTTGTTGGAAGAGCTGAATAATTAAAAGCACCGAATATTGAGATCTGAGAAATATATTCATTTTGTTGGAAAATTTTGTGATATATTGTTAAATAGAGTGTTTTTAAGTTTTCTATAAAGTTTAAAAACATTTCAACAGATCTGTTTTCTCTTAATTAGCATGTACTTGAAACGATCGTATCCAAGTTGTATTGTCTAGAGCTTAGGATATTTTTTTACCAATAAAACATGGCTGCAAACAGATAATTATGTTTTATTGCTTAATTGTCTCGGAGTTTCTATTGGGTTCAGTCACTTTTCACTCAATAATATACACCATGAAAACTATTGGAAATTGTATATTAGCTACAATAGCGTTTCAGACAATGGAAATATTGTTGAATGCAGGTCCTACTAATGTTAAAGTGTTTGATGAGATTAATGATGTTTGTAGTTCCTGTGGCGGGCTGTAACGCAAAAGATATTTTTAATAGTTGGTTTGAAAGACATTTTCACTTCACTCTCGTGTAATTTACGAAATTTACTCACAGATCTTGTCATAGTTGAAGACATAAAAGATTCCCATGCATCCAACTACGACTTGTAAAAATGGAGCGATTCCGGCTCGCTTTGGTTGGACGTACTTGTGCTGCCATCTCCAATATGCTGAAAGTAAATTCAATTGTAAGAAAATCGAATAAGACAAGTAGAAGATTTGGAAGAAATATGCGTTCCAGAAAACTGTCGTGTTACATTAAAAACCAAGAGCTTGTATGAAAAGATCGAGCCGCATTAATTATATTTTTTAAAACATTTTCAGAAAAGATAATCTAGTTTTCGTCGATAAGACTTTTTGGGACTGTATTACCGGTCTCGGCTTTGCAATCGTGGGATAATTTTAGTATTTTATTCTGAGTACACAATATACGCTTTACTAAAATGTTTATTAAAAGTACTGCATTTTAATATAGGTATATTAAACAATATTTCTTCGTCACCGCTATGCAGTATTAACCGCGGAAGTTTTCTTCTGGGCAATATATTCTCACTCTATAAACAGTTTTCCGCATTATTGCCAGATCTGTGGAGTATCTTTCAGTTAAAAAATCTTTACCCATTTCTTTTATAAATATTTTTATACAATCTTGCCTTCATAAGTATAGTTCATCCAAACTCAAGACGCAACAACCCATAACAAATGCACGAAACAAGCGTATAGAAAGTACTATTGCCAGGACCGCACTAAACAATCAATTGTTTCGTAGTATAATTATCCTTTATAGAAAGATGGAATTTGGAAATTCTAAATAATATATAGGGTGGTCCAATTTCCAGAGCCGAAACTTCAGGAAATAATAGAATATCGAAAAACAATATGAGTTTTTATTATAAACTATATCCGAGAATCAGACTGAAAAAATCTAATTTTCAAATTGTTGCCAAACGGTTGTGGATATTCAACGACATTTTGCAGGCGATAACTGCCAATGCGGGAGATCTGGCAATAAAACTATATTTTGCACCCTGTATTACTGTATTGAAGAGTTACTCGAATAATGATTGATAATGCAACTCATATTGTCTTTCGATTCTCTATCGTTCTCTGAAATTTCTGCACTGGAAACTGGACCACCCTGTAGAATATATTTTTGGAAATAATAAGAAATTATGAGAAACAAATCTCAGGAATCAAACTCTGGTCCCTGTCCGTGAAAATGGATCGATATATTTTGTATAAGAGTTGGAAAATTCTAAATTAATGCGAGTTTTGAGAATTAATAAAAGGACGGTATTTATAAGCGAATCTCGCTATATAGCGTATTTATAAGTCTAAAGTCGAGCAAGTCCCTCTGTTTAAAAATCGTAATCGGTGGCAATTTTCGCTCTTGAAACTCAACTCGACAGTATTTAGCTCATATTTAGAGAACCGATTGAGCTGCGAAGTTTTAGTTGTCATTGCGGGACAGAGCTTTAAAATGTGTACTTTCTCGTACCAAACATCATCTAAAGAATATGTGTAGTTTTCACGCTAAACGCGATAATTCAAAATTAATTCGATTCATGTGGTCTTTGGCTCATACTTACAGAACTGCTTGAGCTGCAAAACTCTAGTTGTCATTGCGGGATGGAGCCATAAATTGTGCACTTTTTTCAATATCTTTCAATATTTCTAGTTTTCAATATATTCAATTGCAATTCTTTTAATGTTGTTAATTTTATTATATTAAGCAGTCCAAAATTCTGAAGAATGTTCACACTGTCTACGTTTCCTTGATATAATACTTAAATTCATCATCGATTCGTTCCATAACCCATTATCTTGATCTCCTATAAAGCCCGTGTTCCATGCATCCGTTTGTACGATGATACGATGGTACAAAAGTGTTTCTATTGGTTGAAGATCTGTCAATTCGTACGACGACGGGCGAATTGACAGATCTCCAACCAATAGAAACACTTGCGTACCATCGTATCATCGCTCAAACGGATGCATGGCTTAAGTCAGTGAATCAAACTTCTAGTGAAATTTGGGTGACGTGTTCACGGTCACACAACATCTATAAAACGGGAAAAATATGTCTTCGTCGCAACCTAAGCATGGAGGATGATGATGCAGTCTTATGATGCGATAAATTGTACTTTTAACAACACCAAATTTTAGTGTTATAAGGCGAGTACTGATATGTGGATTGGCCGCAATCTTATTTTTTCCGAGGAAACGTTTTCCTCGATAAACTGATACGAAATACCTACTGATTTTCGAAATTGAGGACGACCCTCTCCGTAAACTACTTTTAATTTGCCCAAATGTGCAGTAATCTGGAACATATCGAATTTGGTATCGCCCGCATGTACGACTGCAGTCTCATATAAATTAATTCCTCAAAAGATTAGGACTTTAAGTATGTCGCTTATTCCTTCATTACATAAAGTTTTGTTTGCGCAAAAACTATGAATTTTACAGCGACCATGAAAATCTCGATAAAATATTAATCAGATTTTTGTATCAAGCCACGCAAAAGGTTGCCACTTGTCCAATACCGTGGGTACTTTAGTCGTATCAAGACTTGTCTTACTTAGGTTCGAAAACACATCAAGATTTCTTCCAAACCATCATGAAATTCTCCGGATTTTATATAAACCTTATATTTTTTGAAGAACTTTGGGTCTTTTTAACAAGAGATAGATCAGATACCATTTTGAACTGCATTACAGGACACCTTGTATATTAAAGCAAGATTGCCTTTGTAATTGTTTGCTACAAGTAAAATGCAGTACTTTTAATAAACATTTTAACCTAAGAAGGAAAAGGCATTTGTTGAACTAGGTAGTAGAAAAGCTAATCCTTGAAAAGAAGTAGGTACAAGAAGCCAAGTGTAAACTTCAATGTACTCTGTACGGAGACAATGAGTTATTTGCAGTTCTTTTAATACTAATTAGCTTTACCTCTGCTAATAGCTCCAACTACTGCTCGGGGACTTTTATCGCGACGACCCAACCATGATCCAACTTCAGACAATTTCAATTGCCCAAAAGGAGTGTCAGCTGTAAAAAAGCATAGATTACGGTTAAAGGGAACCTCAAAGACACTTATTGCTCGCAATAAACAGCTAGTTTACTTTCAAAGTTAATAGAACTTTGGTCAATGAATTTATCAAAATTATACTGAATTTTGTGGATTATGTAATGATCGGTGAATAGTAGATTTACTTACGTTTCCCATAGAAACGAGCTGGGTCATACGGTCCATGGATTTTTGGATCGTACTCAATTGGGTACTGACCGAAGTTTAAAGCCATTTCGCCCCAGTAATTGCAAAATCGCTGTTCTTAAATTATATAAAATGAGAAGCAGCAATCCCTTAAATGTCGATTGTGACAACTGACAACAAAATGGCAAGCATACAAATGTTCAACGGCTCACTTCGATACACTATCGATATTTGAATCATACTGGAATTAAAGCAAAAGTACTGAAGGAAAAAACATGATAAAATTGCTAAATTTGGTCAGCGATCAACCCGCTCCTGCAATAACATTTTTAAGCCCTGAATCCGTCACTGATAAGTTTTTCCACTTCATAGTCGCTGTCTCACTTTGCCTTACCTGCTAGGATCGTGTTGTCTCTATTTTTATATGAATGGTACAAGGGTTTAAGAAAATTTGGAAGTTAAGAGACGTTATGTGAATGAAATAACCCTTTAAATAGGATTTTTCATTCCCTATTAGAATTTAATTTTTTATTTCGTTAAATTTAAATCATTTTTTATTTTGTGACTGCTAATGCTAATGGTAGAGGTAAACCACATGAATAAAATAGCCAACTGTATGATAATACTTAATCATTTAATATAATTTATTACGGAAATCGAATTAAAAAACAAGTTTCTATTGTGCTGACGTTGTTTGTTTCTGTATGAAACCCACTTCCAAAAATAACTAAACAATAAAGGTACAAAAAATAAACAAAATATGTAAATACAATAACATAAAACAATTGGATTTATTTCATTACTTATAGCGATTTATAGTAATATGTAATGTAACAAGTCATAGCTATTTTTATTTGTATTTTTCAATCGACTTACCCCAATTGCATTGAAGAAGTTACAAATACATATATAGTTTATATACATTTCTATAGAAGAATGGGGTGCCGAACGTTAGTACTTTTATACAGTAAAATCCTGAAGTATATTCTTAGTAGGCTAAAGTGTAGATTAAAATTAATATTTTTTGCAAATTAGTTTGAGTTTAATTAATTAATTAAACATTTTTATCAAATTTAGTTACCCAAGTTTGACGGGCATTGCAGTTGATGGACTCAAATACTATTGAGTAAAATAAAATCTCTAAGAGTACACTCTTAGAGAGTACACAGTAGAGAATATAATACACTCTAGTGTATTAAAATTAAACTAAAAATACTTTTGTTTAGCTGGTAATTGTTCACAGATCAAGTAAAAATCAATAAAACAGTCTTGGCCAATAAAATTGTCTTTACCATTGACTTCCTTGTTTCTTAATTTAACAAATTGTCTATGTTATCTATTTCAGGTGTTATGGATCAGCAATCTGCCCCAGCACAACATATCCAAGAAGAATTTAGTGGTACGGATGAAGAATTAGATAACGAAAAACTTCGATAACTTCAAAGACGAAGGAAACAGAAAAAAATTAAAAATTGAAAGCAAAAAGTCAGCTATCGAAGCAAAAGTCGAGGAAATAACTATTATTATTCAAGATGAACAAGTTACATTGGGCCAACTGAAGCAGGAAAAGGGCCACCACTTAAAGAGAAAAATTTACAGAGTTAAAAGAGAAAAAAGCTAAAGTTAAATTTGATCTCGAATGCGAGTCTGAGTCCGTTTATAACATAATCGATAAACTAAATAACGAATAAAGTACCAAAGAAAAGATGATAATCAATCAAAAAAAGAGCATGGGCGAAAAGGAGGGACGCCTGCAGTCCAACATTGATAGAATTCGATCTAAATTAGTAGCAGCTGAAGAAAATTCGTCTTCGAAATGGAAACTTCTCACTGAAACGAATATTAAACTTGGAGAGACAAAATGTAAATTGGGACGTTTATCGCATTCTCATTCTCAATTGGAATCAGTCATAAAAATGAAGAAGTTTGAAGATGACCTGACAAAAAAGGGGCGAATTTGATGAAGGACATGCGAGTCGCCAGTTAGAAGATCTCGAAGAACAGATTGCTCAAAAGGAACAGCTCCAAACTAAGCGTGATAACGAGTATAGAATACTTCAACAAAATTATTTCACTGTTCAAAAAATTAAATCTGAAACGTCGACTTTATTGGAAAAAAGAGCTGCATTAAAAGAAAAGCGTGAACATAGCTTTGCCATTCCATTTGAAGAACATATACATGCACATGAACTTGAAATGACATCGATACAGAACAGAGAAGAACAAAAAGGGACGTTCTTTACGAAAAGCATCTCAACTAATGAACGAAAAATCGCTTCGTTAAAAGCAGGAGTAAAAAATGTACGAGAAAAGTTTGAAACCGAACAGAAAGAACTGAAACGTAACAAGGAAAAGATTGAAAGGGTTTGCGAAGGAAAACCGTATGCCGAAGTTTCAAATCAATCGCATACTAAAAAGGAAACGCTCCAGAAAAATAAAGGAACTCACAGATCAGCTACAACAATATTTGTAAACTTTACTAGCGAATTTGAACAAGAGGCACCTTGCTGTCCAGTTTGTGATGCCAGTTTTGTTTCAAAAAAATTCTCTTGTACCGAAGATTATTACCAAATTGAATTGAATTGAAATTAGAAGTTACTATTCCGCATCGAAATGTCCCCTTTTAATTTCGTCTTCACATATATCAAGTGCTATCGTTCGTTCTTCTGCAAAACCTTCTTTAACCAAGGTGGGTCCAATTTCACAATCCTTAAAAGTAGTTAACGAGACTTTAAAGGGTGGCATGGCATTTCTGAAATATAACCGTTTTAGTTGGAGTGCGTTTTATAATAACGTGCAAATATTTTAAGTCTCAAAAAAGAATTGACAAACTAAATTTTCAAGAAAAATCGCACAAAATACTGCAATTTTGCAGTTAGGCCCTGGAAATGTACTTACTTTATATGCGCCTTGAACGTTCTGTATCCGATATGTCTATTAAAGAATTCTTTGGCTTTACTATCATCACATCCAGCTCGGTGCTGGTAGTTATCCAAGTATATCTGAAATGTCTGTACACGAAAAAAAACAAATTATAAAAAAATTATCAAGTACAAAACTGATCCATAAATTGCGCACTTTAAAAGCTAAACAGGTAAAGAAATACATGCCTGAAATGGAAGATGCATAAATTGCTCCTGCATGACTCTGGTGTTTTTAATATTCACCAAAAAGTGATCTCCAAAATCTACAGAACAAACCTAAAAGACGTTAAATAAAAGAACAGCATAGAATGTGAAGAATCATTAATACCTCCATAGAAACTTCTCTAAAATTATTTTTAACTGCATTAACACGCACTCTCATCCATTTCTTCGCAGTCGGATGCATTGCTAAAATAATTTCACCCTTGCTTGGGTAGCCTTTAAAATGTTCGAATTTGCTTATTTTCTTTGGATGGTTTATTACGTTCATTAATTCTGATACCGAACGATCCATCACAATATGGGCTAGAAACAGTAAGACCAAACTTTTCGAAATCCGAACACTATTCTTTTTATTTTCGAATTTAAAAAGAATAATGCCTAATACTTACTATCATTTAGTTTAATAGGATTTTTTATCACTTGCACTATGTAGCTACACGAATCAATATATAAAGTCACCGAAACAACTACAGTCTCGAATTTTTTGGGAAATTCTGGATCGTTTATAGCCGTGTAAAATATAGCTGATTTGTCAGTAGTGTAACCATCTAAAATAAACATTTAACAAAATGAAAGCAAACTGACACGAAAAATGCGTTTTCGGGGAAATTTTAAACATGCAATATTTGAGCTAATTGTGCATAAACAAACAACATGCGAGTTAAAGTATGTACTTCAGCTACCTTTCAACATAATATGTTCAAGCCTGCAGTTCTTTCCTTTGTAGCAACTTCCGTCGTTTCTGGTAAATCTACAAATCCGCTTTTCGTCTTTGGCATCAAAACCCCAAATAAATTCGTTCAAATTTTCAGCTTGTTCCAGTTCATCGATATCGTCCAAAAATTCGCCCAATTCCTCATAATCTGCATCTAAATAAATAGTTGCAAAAAAAGCCTACTCAACTAAAACACATTATAAGTAGAGATACATTTCAATGAAAGTACTGCAGATAATTGTTGTCAGTTAATTTTTTCCTCATTAAACTCCTTTTGACAGAATAAACGTGGATTTTTTAATCTTTATACTCATGATTTAATATCAAAATATGAAAAAAAAGAAATCATCATCATCTATCATTCCGAATATTTTTAAGAATTACAAAATAGAATGGACGGCTTATCATTATAATGATTGCTAATATTTTTATTATACATAAATGTTCTGACTATAATCAAATTCTTAGACCATTTTTTTTGCTTTGGAGTCTGTAGAAATAAGATATTAGCTTTCTACAATAACGTTGAAGAAACGAGTAAAATTCGGGTCTTATAACCGTGGATCGCGGTGTTGCAACATCATATTAACACTCAAAACTAGATAGTAGATTTTATTGTTACTACAAATAATTACAATAACAAGTAAATATGTTTAAAAGTCCACCATAAGCAATATTTTCAAACTCTCACTTTTTCCGATAGAAGTACCAACCAGTATCACATATTCTAATGTTGTAGTTGGTGCTCTTTCATTTGTTTAATTACGTTGAATCGGTACTTTAATAGTTTAAAATGTTCAGTACATTTTCTGAATTATCGTATTCTGAATAATTCTAGAATGGACTTTTTCAATATTTCTAATAAAATCAGGAAAGAAAATTCTAATACCACATGGGTAAGTAATGTTTATGGCATTTCAACAAAAACTTATATTTTATAATTGTCAATTGATTTAATTTGATAAAAAATATTTGCCTTAAGCTCGTTTCGCTTTGAATGTTGTCATATTTTTCTTCCTAAGTCCTACGAATAAACGATTCGTCCCCCGTATTAAAATAGTTTTCGACTTCGAGCGATAACATTTCGAAGCTCTATGCATACGTGTGTATGTATTAAAAAGTAAATTGTTGAAAAATATTCAATAAATTGTTTTTACTAATCCATTTGCTATAATAAAATGTTTGAAAGTGTATCTCTTTTATAGTCTATAATTTAAAAAATTGTAAATGCTAACGATAAAATTCTGCAAATCAATTAAACTTAACGTCATATAAACCACACGTAAAGTTTAAAAACAAAATGATCGAGATGTAAAAAGTGTATAACTATTATTCTAGTGACTGATTTTTTCAAAATATTGTCACATAGGCAAATCCTGTCTACTTCACAGTTGTTTAGTTGAAAATGTGTATTAATTATCGGGATCTGGCTTACAATCGTCTATTATTTCCTTTGCTAATTCCATATCTATCAGCAGCGTTCCGAGGGTGACGTCTGTTAATTCGTTGAAGTAACCTAAGTCCACCGCGAAAGAATCACTAAAACAAGAATTAAAGAAAAAAAAATATGATAAAATATTTAAGTCGTAATTTGATGATGAGTGTAAAAAAATCGTGCCAGATTTTTGTAATTTGGCATTGCAAAATGTTATCCCAATAATACAGTGCGTTCACGGCGAAAAGGCCAAATTTATTTAAAAATTGGTCCCAAAATCGACAACTGTTTCGGAAAAGTTAGTTCAAAACGCGATATTTTGTGAACTAAATTTTGTCTAGTCGGACGTTTCAAAAATTATATACAGTGTCATCTTTTTGATTCTACATTGGATTCTTGTTACTTTTTACAACCAGAGTGGTTTTTTAAATGCAGTTTTAAGTAAAATTATGTTTTTCTAATAAAACCTATAGTAAATGAATCGCAATTCTAATTTTTATCCGACTTGTAGGATTCCGTGTAAATGTATTGGTGGGAATCCTATTTAGGCTGGTAAAATCTAAAGTAGTTGACGTTCTACGATTTTCTAAGATTGGTGCGGTTATGATAAAATAACAATTTTTTAAATATTTAATAATAATAAAAATCTCAAAAACCAATATTTCAATACAGGGAAATAATTGCAAGAACATTCCGCAGTTTAAAAAATTAAATTTTCGGCTTTCATAAATTAAAAATTGATAAAAATTAATTCTAACATGCATATGACTTACTTATCTAGATGTGAAAATACTATCACAAATATAGTAGGGTTGAGTGTTTCTGTCGGATTGCGACTTATATTAGCTATTTCAAAAAGAGCTTGCATTACCTCCGATGGCCATTCAGTTAATCTATGTGAGTACGTTGATCCTGCAGGATACAGCTAAAAATAATATTGCTAAGAGTTTGATAAACCTTTTTAAGTTCAATTAGACGTGATCGTTTACCTACTCCGAATAATATGTATCTACATTTTGAAACTTACGAAAGGAAAGTGGCATTTCACTGCCAGCGCAGGTATACGAGCGACTTTCGATGGTAATTCTCTCAGATTTGTATAAGATAAGGTTCTTTTAAACCCATAATCTAAAGATTGTACTTCCACTTCATCACATGTACTATCCTATAAGCAAAAATCAATTAGTAAAATATAAGTGCGCACATTAATACACATGCAAGAGCACCGATTTTTCATATTCATTACCATTTTCCAATCTAACACCTTGAATCTGAACCAATCGTGTGGCGAATCACAACATATCCCGCAACAAAATTTTCCCAACTTTGCTAAAGCATTTTGCTTAGAGCTAAACCTGCATTTACTGCCGTTGTACTTGTCAAATAAAGCACAAGAGATCCTAGAACAGTGAGAAATTGAATTTGATAAGTAAGTAAATCCAAATAGTAAGAACATACAGATCCAATTGGAGGTTGTGAATATCAGTCAGCGTTTGTATGTAAAATTCCGAAGGTGAAATTATATGTGTAAAAACACATTTTTCGTCGACTGTGGGCACTTCCATTTTTGGTCCTTCTAAAATATAACTTGAATATATTATTGCATAAACGAGTACTTAAAACAAAGTACAGAAAAATACATTAAAATTAAATTACAAATGAAATTAGAAAAAAATATAGGGTATTCCTCAATTTTCGTCCATACGGCAGCTGGTACTAACAGCCACAGTAGCAATAATTAATTAAATCTTTTGTTGCCAGCTAACGCTGAGTTTGGGTATAAATTGTTTTTCATAAAGCGTAGTTAATTATTTGGTAATTATTTACCTTATTTTATGGCTAAAATAAATAATAGTAATAATCAATAGAACGTTTTAAGGTTTGCAAAGGTTTGGTATTGAATCTGGAAATCTCTTACAATTCCCGATATAGAATATGTAGCTCAAATTTGCAATGCAAGAGTTAGCTACGATTTTACATTTTACTTAGAAAATTAAGAAACAAAATACCGTTCTGCAATTTGGAACCTTCAGCAGTTCAGTGCATGTAAGTTGCAGAGGACCAAATTGCGAACAACGAAAATATGGTCCTGTAGATGCTCACAACCATTTGCTGCACCGTAGTAAACAATTACTCTTAAAAACATCATTAAATATAATAGTACGTGTCGCCAGCGTTTAAATTAGAGAACTAAGTTGTTTGAATTAGATAATTTTGTACATTGGAAGTTTTCTGTTTCAATTTGAAACAGCTTAAAGTTACCGTCAAGATTTCTTTCTTGATTCAGATCTTTCACTTTCGTCTTGGGTTCGGAAGCTTTAGAAGTACTGGCTGAAGATGTTTGCGAGTTCAGATTGTTTTTGATAACTTTGGGAACTTTCACTTCTACGAATTTCAAATCGGGCAAATTCGCTCTTGCCGCGTTTCTGGCTTCTTGATTTTGATCCAGCCTACAATAATCGACATACATAGACCATACTCGTTTAGCAAATCCGTCGCTGGGTAATGCAATGTTGATTTGAATATAAATACCGTTCGATCCTTCGTAGTTTCTCTATCGCGTTCCCATTTCCTGGATCGATAGCATCTGGATATATTTGCCCATTTGACAACCAGGAAGTAACTTTTAAATTATAACTTAGACCCGACTGGATCGCACAAGATAAATGATCAGCTGATGAAATTAACGACAAAATTTCAATGTTTTTTCTGTTGCATTTTCTTTAACTTACCACTTTTGGTGCGAGCTTCTGGTATATCAACGGGATGCCTTTGTGTACTCATTGGCTTTCTTATGGCACCTGTAGATGCAGAAGGGCCAACTGAGTTTTCAGGATTTGGTAAACTATCTATTTGTATAGTAGCTCCATTATTCAAATGTGTAGGATTTTCACTTTGCGGCATGTTATTTGCATCATTCCTATTATCGGCTCGTACTTGTTCTAAAAAATATATAGAGTGAGTCGGTTTATATTACAGGACTTCGCAATCGATAGAGGATCTTATTTTAAGTTAACTTTACCTTATAAACATATGTCGGAAAATGTTTCGGTGTGAAGATACAGCATGTCAACATTTTTATTTTTAATAGTAATTTTCGGCACAGATCTAATATATATTTTTTATCACATACTATCCAGAATGATCTGCTGGTTTGATCATAAAATAGTCGAATTGAAAATTTACAAGGTGATTTTTCTGTCGTGGCTCAAGCCCGCTTGTACCGATCAAATAAATTTCTGCCGCGTTCTGACCGGTTGTTTGCAAACCTTGCAGCTGCAACTAATGCAGATTAAGCCGGAAAAATAGTCGAAAGACCCATTGATAGTAACATCCGGTAAAATGAAGAAAAATGTTCCGTCGAATATTTCTATTAAAAACGACATTGAAGAATTGTCTGCTTGTATGGGCGTCTAAACCACCGGTTACCCAGAGACAAAACCTGTCTCGTTGCTATTTCCAAAGTCGCGTCTCTTGTCTTGCTTTGAAAGGTGGCCAAAAAACCTTTGAGAAAAAGGAAAAAGTTTTCAAAGTAAGAGAAAGTCGAGAACCACCAATTATTTTCATTTATGTGTTCGTTTTACTCCAGAACCTGGTGTGTTTTTTGTTTTTATTTGACTAGTAACTTTATTAATTATTTTCAGATCAACACGCAAAAACAATCTTCATCAGCACATCTTGAACGCCGAGAAAATTACACGATATTTATGAGATGTTCTTTCACAGAAAATTATGACGAATTGTGCCTACAGTTACTGAGTCAAGTTATAACTTTCGTTCAGACTTCAATTTTTCGTACAATTTTCTTTATTTTTCGAAAGATTTCTAAATCGAAAGACTTCTAACCCGAATGTGGAATTCAGGTGTTTGCAAATAGGCGGACAGACGCACCACAGAAAAAATTTCCTGTAGGTGCATATTTTACATACATCACCTGGTAGGTATACATTTTAACAAGTAATAAATGGGGTAATAAAAAAACTCCAAAATATAAGCGCATATCGTTATGAATATTACGAAAAACATTAAAAAACATGTGGAAACAAATACCATGATTAATGCGTGATGGTCTATCAGTTGGGACCAAGATATCAGATGGATCTTGATAGTGGCTGACTGCATATGATTTATCAAACTGATTTGCTGAACTAAAAAAGTCCTCCGAATGAAACCCCATCTTCCTACTAAAATACATCATGTTTTCTTTGATCTGATCCATGTCTCTGGTGTCATATTTCTTAGGAATTTTAGCTGGAGGATTAACTTTCATCAGAGGGTGTGCTTCACTGGCGGCAGAAGCATATTCGGCCGTTTGCGAAGATATTGGCGAACCTAGACAAGGGTTAGTAGCAATATTCATCTGTTCTGTCGATTCGATTTCCATTTCATTAGTATTCATACAGGCTACCTCACTGCCATTATCTTTCGGGATTTCTTCATGTTTTTGAGTAATCTGGCTGTTATTAAGAATAGTGGAACATATAACTTTCAGAGTAGTGTCATTTAATGGTTTTCTCATGTATGAGTCATTAAGAACTTGGGTGTTCGATAGCTTTGGGCCTGCAGACGCAATTATACCACTTTCCCTTGCAGTGTAATTTTCTTTTAAATAGTCTTTTAAATCCGCATCGGTATCGGTTTGCGTTTGGTCTTCTACTATAGCTGGAAGGTTTTCCCGGAAAGGGCAGGCTTCGAGAGTTTTCACCACTGAATTGTTAACTTCCGAAAACACAAGCAATATTTTCCTGAGGAAAGTTTGAAGAGTCTCTTTTTCCGCGACGACTTCGGATTCCAATATTTTATGAACTTGCTGATCAGCCTAAAATACCCCAAATACATATTCGATTTAATACTAATAAGGCAATCCAAGACAATACAAGGTGCTCCAGAAATATTTGGAATATTTATAGAGCAAACTTTTAGATGTAACAGGAGCCATGAAGTCAACATTTTTGCCTCGAGATAAAGAGTTGAAAAAAAAACCAAAAATACAACATTGTTTTCCATCTGAGAATATTCATTAGAAAATTTGATTATGTGTTATAGAGTAAACTAGGATTTAAAAAGTTTCCTTTTTAGAGCTTTTGCTTAAAGAAAGTTCTAAATGTGCAAACAAAACTATCGATAGTTTCGAAAAAAGTTTGTATAATAAAAGCACGCCCCTAGAAATATAGTGGAAATTGTAGCGGATCTAAAAAATTAGCTGGTTTGGGCAGCACCAACCTGTGATTTTAAAATTCGATATCTCAAAAAGGCTGCGTTCTCACAACGCAAAATATGATTGATTTATTGTTCTCTATCACGCCTAAAAGTTGGTTGGTATATTTGTGGAGGACCCTGTAAACCAGCAAAGTCTTGAAACTGTGCAATATTGAGCCAACATGAAAAACACTTACAATATTAATGAGCCTCGTTACATTCTTGAACAAATCATCTCGCTCATCGTGAAGATCATCTAGGTATTGTCTTATCCTTCTAGCATATTTTGCCGACATCTGTAAATAATATTTTAAGTCAGCGCATTTCATTAGAAAGTATTGTTGGTGATATAAGTTGGTTCTTAAATTTTTATTAAACTAAAGATTAAATATATTTATTTACTAGAATTTTATTGATTTATTGGAAAAGGCTATTTTTTTAAACTTATTTTTTTGTGCTCAAGTACACTATTTTTCATATCACTCAAATCCATATACGAAACATCAGTAATGGTAGTTAAATTAGATGAAGACCTGAAAACAAAACAAATAAAAGTAAAAAAAGAAGTAAGACAAGGCGATACCACCTCACCCAAATTATTTACGCTAGCGTTATAAGACGTGTTCAAGGAGCTAAATTGGGAGGAGAACGGAGTTAAAATTGACGGCGAATATCTCAACCACCTGCGTTTTGCGGACGACGTGGTAGTAATAAGCGAAGACCCATTGGAACTGAAGACTATGATCAAACAACTAAACCATGCCTCTCAAAAAATAGGACTCGAGGTCAACATCACAAAAACAAAAATCCTCAGCACGCAAAACATTCAACTTTCCATCGGAGGGAATGAGATCGAAAATGTAGACGAGTATATATACCTGGGGCATAAACTCAAAATTGATAAAGAAAATCAAAGAGCAGAAATACCGCGAAGAATAGGTCAAAGTTGCGCTGCATACAAAAAACTAGGATTTATACTCAGGACCAGAGATATCCCTATGAACCTGAAAAGGAAAGTGTATGATTCCCAGTAAACTCTTACGGGCTGGAAACAATGAGCCTCTCAAAAAAACAGCGTACATCGCCTGCAATGCTCGCAGCGAGCTATGGAAAGACAAATGCTGGGACCAGTTTGATAGATCATATGCGGAACGAAGAGATTAGAAGAAGAACCGGAATAACGAGTATAACCAAGAGAATAGCCAGATAGAGAAAAGTGGCAGTGGGCAGGACACGTGGCCAGGATGGACAACAATAGATGGGCATCTAGAGTACTGAAATGGAGACCCTGGGAAAGTAAACGAAAGTTGGGTAGACCAATGAAGAGATGAGCTGACGATATTAAGGCCGCAGCGGGACGAAACTGGACACAGAAAGCACAGGATAGAGATATCTAGAAGAAACTTAAGAGACCTATATCCAGCAGTGGAGAAACTACGGTTTATGAAGAGGAAGAAGAAGAGACACTATTTTAAGAACCGAACTCCGTACAATCTTAATGTTGAGCTTCTAGACTGGATATGAACGTGCGACTTAATGACTAAATTAGTTTTTGCAGTGGCTGCTTTTATAGCTAAATAATGCTGGTTTTAGCAGAAGTAATACGTCATATTCTAATAGTATAGTCGGCATAAGCGACCATATAATTCTTTCTAGTCATAGGGGGATTTTCCTTTAGAAATGTAACAATTTAAGGTAAAGATTTACAGGTAAGGCTTTTTAGAGCTAGTACTAATATTTCAATCTAAAAGTGAACCAAGCACTGGCGGTTTCTTCACACGTGCACTAGCAAATGTTCAATATTACTTCTTGAAAACAACATATATAAATTTATCATTGTTGCCACCAAAGTAGACAATCGCAATGAAAACAAAAAAGTAATTTATTCAAGGTTCAAAACTTAGCAGAATTACATCCATACAGGAAATAGTAGACGACACTGATAAGCTCATACATATATGCATGCAAAGAAAATAAAATAAAGTATTTTTAACTTTGATTTCTCTATAGATGTCTATGAACGCGTGTGAGTTCTTATCGGTTAATTGGAATTATGATGAGAATCGGAAAAGTAGTAAAAATATATCATCAGGGTATTCCTAATTACTGTCTATTTTATATTAAATACCGTAAAGTCCGCTTATAATGAACCCGGTTAAAGTGGAATTTGGGTTAAAACGAACTTTTTTCCTTTAATTGAAACGTCGTCTATAAAGACCAACGTATTTTTTTACTGGTTATAACGAACCCGTTCATAACGAACTTCCGGATATAACGATCACTTTTTAGGTTAGTTGTATATTCACTTTCCGTTTATAACGAACTTCCACGCTCAGCAACACCAATCGTGCGGAGTTGTTTATATTAGTGAGAGCGAGAGACAGGCAGTGACTTGTTGTTTTTTGCCGCGTTATGTATGTAAATCGTTTTAGAATGGAAAAACAAAAACGCAAAGCTTTTTCACTAAATGAAAAGTACGAGATTATTAACAAAATAAAAAGTGGAGTAAAGCAGAGTGACATTTGTAAGGAATTAGCACTTGGAAAGTCTACTGTTGCAACAGTATGACAAAACAAATGTTAGATGTAGGAAGTTAAAATTATCTGCACATGAAAAGGTTGACAACGGACTTATTAAGTGGTTTACTCAAAAAAGACAAGAAAACGTTC